TGGCCCTACCAATGACACATCGGGCCTACTTGTTACAAACTTCAAAGGAAAATAGATCCTTCGCCATAGGGTAATGATGCCTCTAGACTTGCCTGCCAAAGGTTGGAAGTCAAAATCCTATTTGATGTTGGTCATATTATCGATCTCTATGCGGTCAATGTTTTTCACCTGGGTTTCCACAGGCCCGATTGAAAGCGGGTTGTCTTCGCTAATGAGGTGCTTGAGGTAGGCATTTGAGAAGCTCAATCCCAAAGCTTATGGGTCTTTCAGGATCCTTAAGAAGTTAAACGATAATGCCTATAAGATCAACCTATCAGAGGACTATAATATTTTAGCTACATTTAATTTAGCAAATTTGACTCCGCGCTAAGAATAACCAGAAGTTTTGACGAATGAGGTCGAAGCTGTCCCAACACGGGGAGATTGACACAGGGCTCACATGGGGGCAGCTCAGCTGGGGGAAAAAATACTCTGTCTGAATTTCAGACATCTGGACGACCAACCACCTCTTGCCACGTCGCCCGTAGATGAGGTGTATGATGACGTGGTGCCCGGGGGCTGGTTGTCTGGAAGTGCAGTGTCCGAACGGAATATATCCTCCATTTGGGGGGTTGAACCGGTTCAACAAGGAAGCCACTAGGGGTTCAGCTGGCCCTTTGGTTTGGGCTAGAGTTGCTTCCCACGGGGAGGGGAGAGGTCTTCTCCCTCCTATTTATCTACTACTATGTATATGCATTTTATTTTGATTAAGGTTCAAGTTTTTGGTTTAGAATTTTTTTGTTGTTAACGCCTTTTTCCTTTCTAAGAATCTATTTGAGGACATGCGGTGATCCGACTGTACCTTTCTCCAAGGAGGTGAGTACTCTTCCTTATCTCCTTACCCTCACTCATTCTGCTCTCTATCATAATCCCCAACCTTTTCCATTTTGCTGTCACCCATCCGTTTCTCTTGATGCTTGCTACCGCCAACCCCTCCAACCTTCTTGCTTGCTGCCGCAAGCCCTCCAGTCCCCTATTACTTGCTGTCGCAATCCCATACCCTTCATGCTTGCTGCTGCAATCCCATACTCTTCATGTTTGCTGCTGCTGACCCCATCAGCCTTCCCGTTTGCTGTAAACTCTCCCCCCTAACCTTCCATTGTTGTTGCAGCCCCTCCAGCCTTCTACTGTTAGCTGCCACATCCCAATCAATCGACATTTCCATTGTCCAACCATAACCCACCACCTTCTTGTTCTCACCCTAGGGGCCTTTGGGGTTTTTTGTTGCTTTGTTCTTGTTTTAAGTGTCTTTGTGTAACCCCTATGAGTTTTCAACAACAATATTTGCGTTTACGTTACTATTGGGCTTAACTTCGGTATCACTTCTTCTTTTAGTGTAGAAATATTCTCTTCCCATTATTTGAGAATTTTTTGCAATAACATAAAATTTTCTTATTTTCACTTAAAATGCATATTAAATTCTTAGGATTTGTTTGAGATCACTTTTCGTTTTCTATTTTTGTATTTGCTTTTAGTATGTTTTCTTTTTATTTTGTTTTTTGTTTTTAGAAATTTCGTTTTGTACTGTTATGATTTATATGTTTTTAAAAATATAAAATATAAAAAATGTTTGATTGAGTATTTTTTATTTTTGAAAGAAAAAAAAACTATGTATTTTATAAAACAGTTGGGTCCACGTGTGCTCTACTATTAAATTCTGCCTAAATAGCAGATTTTGTTTTGTAGTTATTTTATTTACACAATTTCTCATTATTTAGTATTACTTTGCATAAATTTTTAATTAAAGAACTAACTTTTTGAGTTTGATTGGAAGTGTGGGGTGAATATACTTAGTAGTTCTAGCGCTATTCTTTTGTTTCAGCTTTTCTAATTACATGTTTAAATGATATATTATTATTTAGTGATACATCATAAGAAAATTTATTTGATCAAGTATAGATCATGATTCAACCTTTGATTTGAGAACTTATAAATTAAATTTAGGACTATTTAAACTCTAATTTTTGCAAACCTATCAAAAAAACAAACATTTTGGCGAACTGAGTCCAAGACTATCAAGTGTTTTGATTTGAGTATTAATGACTCAAAATTAAGCACTTGATGCATAATTTGAAACTCCGTGACATTAGTTTTAGTACCATTTATGATATTTAATTACCGCGTAATACAAAACGAAAGGCTTGACAAGTGGAATTTAAGAATTCTATGCTTATTCAACTATGATGGCAGTAAAACACTTAAATTCTTAAAGAATGGTCTAAGATTGAGTGAATTAACATGGGCCATATGATTTAACAGAATTTCACTTTAAAAATTATAAAAAGAGCCATATTCTATACATAATGAATGCCTTGGTCATGAGGAAATTTTAAATTCTTGTATATTTTGATGATTTTTTACCTCTGTTTCACGTTTGATCTTAATTCCCATGGAAAATAGTTAGCATGGCTTGATCATTGTTGCTTGATCTTTGTTTTCTGACCATTCTTTTCGCTTTGTCGTCGCCCATCTACTATTGCCTGGCCATCACCTGATTGTCTTTTCTTGGTCATTGTTTTCCCGGCTATCACCTGATTGTCTTTTCTTGGTCATTGTTTTCCCATTGTTCTTATCTTTCACTATATCTCTCCAACAACCTTTGTTATTACTATAAGAGACTAAGTTAATATTCCTAAGTTTGTCAACATTTCTTATTCGATTAATGGAAAGGACAAACTTTTGTAATCTTTCTTATATAGCATATCATTTATATTGGGCTAGGCCCATTTTTTTCTGTTCTGGGATTTTCACATAAAATTATAATATTACTTGCAATCCTCTTTTATCTGTGTTTATATTGGATCTTCGTATAAAATGATCATGCTTACTATTTTTAAAGTCTTATAACGATATAGCTTCATTTCATAATGGGTTCTTTTAATTTTTTTTTAATTATTTTAATGCATGGAGTTAGCATTTTTTATTTAAAATTTAAAGCTATCAAATTAAGGCAAGTATATCGACCTAGTTTATCTAATATTTAATCTATGGTTATCTACATACTATTTCTCTTTTTTTTGCTCATTCTATTAATACTTAATATTCAAATCCATTTGAAAAAAAAATTATCGCCTAATATAAGTTAGTTTAAGCCATATTTTAAATTTAATATTTAATTGGACGATGAATGTCTGCCATTTTTAAAGCTTAACATTTATATACAATTTTATCTCATAATGGGATTCTTCTTTAATTGTTTATTATTTTTAGTGGGAAGCAAAACCTTTTTTTGTTAAAGGGTTAAACTATGACGAAAAGGAGAAAAATAACTGCTATATACCATGTCTAATATATCTAATCTAATATCTATCATCTATACTTTTTTTTGCAATGCATTCTCTCCTTAATTAATATGAATAATCAAATTGAAAATTTCTTTTCTAAACTTATTGTTAAATTGTATGAAATAATCTTAATTTAATTTTAAGTATTCTAAATTTAGCATAACAAATAGGCCATTTTTTCAAATTTATTTAATTTAAAATAGTATAATCCTTACATTTATTATTAAATATTCTAATATTTAGTAAGTGATAAATCTAATTATTAATTTAATTTAATTAATATTGAAATTCTTTTGATTTGGCAAGTGTTAAAAGTTACTGATAGTTTATTAGTTTTAATTTCCTAGGTTAGGTTTTGTATTTATTTATTATTATTTTTATTTTAGGTTATGCATTAACATCTTTTCTATTGTAATAAATAATTCCATACAATGAATGAAAGAGTAGTTATTATATATATTACGTAATCTCTGTAGCTGTTGCAACAACAATGGTTTTTTCCTCCCAAAAGTTATGCAGGGTTTTTGTTTTATTTTATTTAAAAGTTCTCCATTCTTGTTTTCAAAGAATACCAAAGTGAGAAAATAAATGGCAAAATATTTTACTTAATTTGGTGGATGCAGTCAAATGGAAATATTAACCTTATTATTTCAATTACACACACGAACAGGCACACACACGCGCACACACACACGCGCACACACACACGACACACACTTAAAGCTTTCATTGAAGTTTTCAGTGCTTGTTTCAGTCTTCCATAGCCGTCTTCTTTCATATCAACTGCTGCCAAAGGTTTTGAAGTATTGGTTTTCTAGTAGAATTTCTGTTGGCAAAACTGACACTGTAGATGATTATAGTCAAATCTGATGGGAAATTGGAACTTCCTTTTTGATATTGCTTTGTCACAACAATGTGATCGATGATTCTAAAATTCATATATAGTTGGGATTCTTGCCTTCTAAATTTTGGTAATTTTATTACTCTTGTTCATGGGGAGCTTCGTTGGTTTTTGATTGTTTTTAAGAAGGTTTTAAAAACCGGATTAGACTGGCTGTTCAAGATGTTCAACGATGATCTGGTTTCCAAATGGTTCAATCTAGATTCGAAACTGTTTTTGCTCAGAACTGAGCTGGATGTGGCGGAACTGACGGTTAAATTTGTGAACGGGGTATGGTTTTGATGAACCACCTGGTTCATATATTGATCATCATATATTTTTAGTTTGCCTTTTGTATATTAATAATTTATACTAAATAAATCTATTTAAATTTGTACCTTAATTTCCTATCATGTATTTCCTCAAATTTCTTGATTTATGAACATTTTTATTGGTATTAAATTATGTCTACTTTAACTTATAGTATATTTATATAGTTGGTTATACAAGATTTCAAAGGATTATTTGAATTTTGCTTATGTCTTTAAAAGTAGAGATTAGTCATTCAAATATCGGCCTTTAAATTTAAAATTATAGAAGATACTTCTTGTGTATATTCTATATATATTATAGTTGTCTTTATTATTATTATTTTTTTCAATCATTATATTGTTATTTAAGTGATATTAAATAATTTTAATGTTTAATTTGCCATCCAGGTTAAGTCCTGTACAACTTACCTTATTTGCTAGAATTTGTTTGTGTGGTTCGATTACTCATGCTTGTTCATTTGGCAGGTACACCTCTGTACATGGCTCCAGAACTGGTGCGTGAACAACCATATAACCACACAGCAGATTTATGGTCCCTTGGAGTTATCTTGTATGCCAACATCAACTGCATTAAATTTATGATGTATTTCCATTCACGCGCGCGCGCACAGACACACACACATCTATCTAGCTATCTATCTATCTATCTATCTATCTATCTATCTATCTATCTATCTATCTATCTATCTATCTATCTATCTATCTATCTATCTATCTATCTATCTATCTATCTATCTATCTATCTATCTATCTATCTATCTATCTATCTATCTATCTATCTATCTATCTATCTATCTGTGTCTAGGTAAATATTTTTTGTTCTCTTCTGGAACTGTCAACAAGGTAAATATTTTTTGTTCTCTTCTGGAACTGTCAAGGACTCTAAAAAGTAAGTTTAATTTTTCAATACTTATGCATGCTTGTGTAAGTACATGATTGATTTCAAATTTTTGTATTCTGCATTTTCTTTGGTAGAATTTGTTGTTGTTACATTGCGAAATTTATGCCAGATTTTACAATTATATGTTATTTTTTGCCATCATATTCACTTTTGTAGCCATAGGAAATTTGAGGGCTTTTCTATCAATATCAGAACTTATGCTTATTCTTTTTCTTTTAATTACTTTATGTAAGCTTTTTCTCATATATCAAGTTCTTCCCCTCTCGTTGAATTGATTGTTCATATTTAACATCTTCTATGCCAGGACAATATTTATTTTGCTTCTTTAGTTGTTTAATATAATTAATATATTAGCATTCAAATTTCAAAGTAGTAACATATCCGATGTAACAGTTAAGTATTAAATAAATTGTTACAAATTTTAATGTAAAAAATTTGTAATGCATCACGTGTGAAAGTTAACTATAAAATAGCGACTATTTCAGTTTTCGTGGATGTGGCATCTTCTGTTTTATTGTTATTTCTGGGTCTTTTGGTTGTTGCTACCATTTACACATGCTAAGATGCTTTTTTTGTTTTTAATCCTCTGCAGATTACACTATTAGGGAAGTCACTTTCACTGATGGCACTGTTGCTTTTAACAGTTTCCTGCATATGTAGGATAGGATCTTTTGATTCTGTGTTATATTTCTACTCTATCTGACTCTGTACATCGATGTTTGTTCTCTGCTTTGGCTTTCGATTGCTTTTTCATTTCCTTACGAATTTCTAGCTTGTGTTGCTACTGTTATCTCTTATATACATACCACTCAATTCCTTTGAATTTACATATGTAACACTCAAAATTTGTCTTTTTACTAGGGGTGTAAGCTCGTGTTTGGTTCGTTAAAAAATACCACTATTCTTGTTCGGTTCGTTTATATTTCTGACGCAAAATGTTTGTTCATATTTGTCCCATTTGCTTAGTTAGCCGAACACGAATTGTTTGCGAATAAAGAATCGCTTTGACAACTCTAGTCATACAACCATAGGATGTCAAGGGTAGGAACGAGATTTAGATCTTTGTATTTATATTAAATTATCATTTAAATATAGTTTAATATATTTTTTTATTTTTTAATTAATAATTTTAATTGATTATAAAACTTTGTTGCCTTGTAGATAATTAAATTATTTAAAAATACCACTTATCAATAATATATATATATA